TCATACTTGGGGTGCTGAGTTTTGCCAGTGGCTTTCTGCCTAAGTTGGGAGTGGTGCTGTCTGTACTCCTTATTTCTCCCAAGTAGCTGCCTGGTTTTGAATTCCACAAGTTAATATGTGTTAATGATGACATATGACAGAGGAAGTGCCTCAGGATAGCTCTGAATAATTTGAATAGTCTGGACTTTTAGCCTTAACTTGGGAAGGATTTGATTCTCTTTATGTTCTAGACAGATAATTATAAACAATCATTCATCTTTTTAGTGCCCTGTTTCCTTTCAGGGTTGTTAATCAAATGAGACCATTGCCATCCCAGGGTTGGAAAAAAATTAATGAGGTGCTCTTGCTTTGATGTGGTTTAATCAACTGTAATTAGATTTGCTCCAGAATTGTTCAGATGCGTGTGTAAAAAAAAAAAACAAAACAAAACAAAACAAAAACAAAAAACAACCCAAAAAAACGATGGCTGCTTAGCGTCTTGGTTTGGTCTTCATCTGAAGAAGTTCCCCTGTGCAGCATAGCTGCTCCAGGACAGCTGGAGGTAATCCTGCTCCCAGGGACTCCTTAACGGGCTTAGGTGTGTGGTGTTTACCTTTCCAAAGGACTTAATTTTTGCTCGAACCACTTGCCTTGGACTTTTTCCCTCCCTCTTGGTGCTGTTGTCAGACTTACTGGCAGGCTGTTTCAAAACCTCAGTTCTCTGGTTATTGCAAAACACCTTCTAGCCTCATGTTCCCCTGTGGTCAGTTTTGGTTTGACCTTAGGCCAACTCTTTCATTTACCTTGCGCTAATATTTTTCTCTTCTCCCCTGGTTACCTTCCCCTAAGGGCTTTTTGGCATGGTAAAGTGAAAGGTGTTGGCTGTTCTTGCGAGGAGGATGCAGAAGGAGGTAAAGGAGAGGGTCATCTGGCACTTGCGGGGCTGGACAGTAGGCAGGTTTGAGAACTGGGGCACTGTCTGTCAGGGTGGCACAGATTTTTAAAGACAAGGCACAGCAGCTTGTTAAATGCATCCTAGCAAAAACGCTAAAAGGAGCCATATCCTGTTAGGCTTAGTTTTACAGGATTAAGTAAACAAAGTTCTCTTAGTCACCTTCTGTTTCTCCACGATCACTGGTGGTCTGTTTTGACGTTAGCTTTAGGTATTTCTGTGAGCAGTGTAGTCAGTCAAGACGGTTACCAAACAGCACGGCCCCTCGGTTGTGCTGCAGAAAGCGGCTGTGGGACCGAGATACAGGTCGGATGAGGTAGCTGATCTGGGTCTGTGTAGTTGAGTTGCCTTGTCATGGTAATGTTGACTTCATCGTGTATTTAACATCCAGCACATGTGTCTTCTGTGAGGTTTGTGGTGCCTGATTTGTTCAAGTATCATTGGTGACTTTTTCATAGAAGCATCACGTTGTGGCTCAGAGTTGTCTGGTGGCTGTTGGAAACCCCCCGAACGCTTTCCTCCCTGTTGCTGTAGCAGAGCTTGTCAGTCCCCGTTACTTGACTTAACCATCTGTCTAGTCTGTAATGCCATCAGCTTTTTCAAGATGCGAGTTCTGTGTGCTGGTGATCTATCTTAGCTTTGCATTAAAAATTTTGGTTTTAGTTAGTTGTGGTGGATCTAGTTCTGAACCAGTGGAGATCTCCCACAGTTTTTCTACCTTAAAAAAAAATAGTGAAGAGGAAAATGCCAGATTAGTTTGCGTTTTACCACTAGGGAGTCAGCGTTGCATATTAACTCTGTTCTCATTGCCTTCTGAAGGTTTCCTCCACAAACATTTCTGAAGCCTTACACAAGTGAGGTGAAACTAAGTGGGCAGTTGCGTAACCAAGTATTAGTCATATCCTTTGTGTTTAGAAAGTTTCACGTTTAATACCTGTTTTAAGTATGTGAACAATCTTTGCAGAGCAGGAGAACCGCAAAGTACCTGTGTGGTTTACCCGTTGCACAAAATTGGGAGACAAGTTTGGAAGCTTATTTTGAAGCCTTACAAGAGTTGGATCAGATTCAATCAAGGGATTGGATTATTCTTCCTTTTCTCTCTCTCTCTCTCTCCCCCTCTTTGGGAGTGAGGGGAGCACTAAACTAAACTTCTCATGGAATCCCATCAACCTACTCAAAGTCATATTGAGTTTGAGGGAAGATATACTCTATAGAATTAAGTAGCTCAGTATAAGTTGATACACTTTTTCTGGTTCCTGTACCTTGTCTCTGTAAGTTTCAATGTTTGTCTGCTTTACTAGATTGTGGATAGTCATGTATCATCTGTTTGTATTCTTTCTGCCAAAACAGACTTTAAAATATTGTCTCGTGCTCACATCTGATTCACATTAAATCTGAACTCATGGTTGATCTGGTGCATGATATTGGCATGTATGGTCATATTTCTCTGGCCTCAGATAGCTTGATTGTGAATTGGCGTTTCTAGATTTTTCATTTGAATTGCACGCTAGTGAATTCAAGTAGGTTACTGTGCATTGTATCTACAAACACTCACACAGTATTTTCAAAATAACTAAACAGATGTCATAGTCTTCCACAATCACCTATTAGAAATTTGCCACAGAAGAATGTTTCCATGTTTCATAACAGCTATTTTAGTTAAGATGAAGGCATCACCTTGTTAAAAGTGCAAAGTTCAGATTTAAGGCTTTTTTTAGGATGTTGTTGCTATATGCATTGGATCAAAGTTGTTCATCTAATTCCTCTGTTTAGATAAATTGCAAACTTCTTTTAAAACGGCAAATTTAGTCACTTCATATTCACCAGCTTTATTTAAATGTATTGAGACAGGATGAAGATTTTTATCTTAATTCTTCTTCAGTTTAAAAGGGCCAAGTGGTCTATTCTTTCGCTGGTAAGGTAATTGCAGTGACCTCCTCACTTCAGAAACGTTGCAGGTCAGACTGCATAGACTGAGGATAGACAAGTTAGAAGGTATGAAGTGACCTCAATCCTGTTTAACGTACAGTTTCAGTGCTTGCTGAAATTCTGTATGAACTACTTGCTTTCCGCCATATTTTTCTTAGCATGAAAGTCTTCTTGGATCAAGACTAACTTGGTCTTGATTAACTGTGAGCAACTAAAACTCTTAGCAGAGAGCTTACATGCCTTGTCACGGTGATGTTGACAGTATAAATACAATTTCCTTCCTGTCCCATCCTCTCCTGAAAGGGTATGGCAGGAAATCTTGTTGGCTAGTTTGTTGTTAATGCATATACTCTCTTGCCAAGGGCCTGTATTACTGAGCTATGTGCCTTACAAATAACTGTCATCTTCCTCTTCCTTCCCCTTCAACAGGAAAAACCTAAATGAAGGCAACTTATAAAAAGCAGATGTTGTAAATAGGAGGAAAATGCATCGTATTTTGAACTGGGGAGTAGCTGTTGCTCTAGCCACACTCTTTAGTTGTATACAAACGCCGTTTTTCATGTGTGGGGTTTATTCTTTTTTTCCTCTGTACACAGTAGCTGACATACTGACGTCGGAGACTTGCTGGCGTTGAGTATGAAATGGCAAAAGCAAAATTTACAGGTGCATGTTAGCCAGGCAAAGCCTGGCTTCACAGGTGATGAATGCAATGTGGCATGTGGAAAATGGAATGGGTTCCTTTTAGGTAGCAGAGAATAACCTCACCAACTTTTCATGGTTATGGATGTGCGATGTCACCTCAATAGATAAAAGCCATTCTTTATCCAGTGTTGCTGGGTCTTTCCTTAGTCCTCCAGCTGACCTTGCACTGCCTACATGTGTTGAGCATGTTTGTTTTTCTTTTTGTCAGATTGGTTAATCACAGTCTTTTTCTGTATTTTTATAGAGCAAATTCGATTAAAAAATATAAGGAATGTATATGGAAGATGCTTGTGGTATCGTTTGCGCCTGTTAAAACCACAACAAAACATAATTCCTACAGTAAAGTAAGTACTTTTCATTTGCATGACTTTCTGTTAAAGCAATTGCTACGTTTTTATTTTCATAAAAATACATTTTTTTGGTAATCATAGCAGCTGGAATTATGTATCTGACAAAGGCCTTTGTGTCACAGAAGAGACATTTGCTATATTTTAATAATTAATAGTTAATCATCATTATCTAGTAGGGCTAGAAATCAAGATGGATGCTGTTTGTCCTTCATAAAATACCTGCTAAATGAAACCAGGGAACCTCAGCACTAAGAAATAAGTAAACAATGCATTTTTGTCCACAAAATAATCCTCCCTCACTGAAATTAGTGCTGCTAGAGATGTCTTTTGGATTTAAATATTTAATATGTAAACATATGCATTCAAATATCCAATAGTAATAATTTGTTTGTTCAGAGTTGATGGTTTTCTATCCTTCAATTCTTTATTTCTCATGTCCACCCTGAAAAATAATTTGCTGTCTGTTATGCATCTGTTTCAGCTTTGACTTTGTCTAGGATCAGGTTAAAGTCATTCTTTAAAAATAGGAAATACTATTGTATAGCCTGTGGAGGCCACACAGTTAAAGAATGGATAGAATCTTTGTTGACAGTGAGTTGAAATTAATAAGACAAGCTGCTCTGAGTTCTAATCTGTATCAAAGTTAGTGTTCTAACTAAAATATCTGCTTTAAAATTGCTTTAATTTTTCTTGTTATTTTAATATTGTGTCTTGAAGACTGATAACTTAAAGAAGACATTTGCTATTTGTGTTATTTGAATTACAGTAGAACTAGTATATTTCCACATTAAAAAAAATTCTTTCTTCCAAACAGGAAAATAGTCCTCCTTGCTGGCTGGGCATTATTTTTGTTTCTTGCATACAAAGTTTCCAAAACAGACAGAGAGTATCAAGAATACAACCCTTATGAGGTTTTACATTTGGATCCTGTAAGTAATAGCATCTTTCACTAGTTCATACTACTGTAATTGTGTATTTTATGTCTAGGTGTCAAATTTAAGACTTTTTTTTAAACACAGTTAGTTAACTTTAGAATGTATCCGGTGGTGGTGTTTTTTGGCATCTGAAAGTTGCTGCTCCATATTGTGAAGTCAGTCATTAGATATTCTTTGCCTCTATCTGTACTAATTTATAAAAAGTCCACCTCACTATATCAAGTCATTAGAATTCTGAAGGAGTTAGACATAAGTTAATCTATTTTGAATCTTACTGTGATGTTTTCCTCATTTGTACAGGAAAAAAGCCATTCTGCCTTGTATGCCATGTGAAAATCCTCTTTAACAGCCATTTTTAGGGCTGCTGCTGATTAAACTGTACAGACCAGATTGTGGATTCATTTGATTTACAGTTGTTGTATGGCAATATTTCTCTTGTAAATGAAAGGTTTCACTAAAGGGTGTTGGTGATGCACATTTTGATGTTGTAAAAGTTATCTTGAATCTCGGTTACATCTGTGAATTCAAACAACAAACTCTAAATAGTGATACCAGCCAGTTGGTTTATTAAACTGGGAAAAAAACCCAAAGACACAGTGTTTCTCTAGAAAACATATGCAATGCTTTATTTATATGGAAGCTCTGAATCAGAATGGATATAAAAAGTGCTGTGTCCTGAGGAGACAAATAGACCTTCTGTACATCTCTTAAACTATTATTGTCTTGTCAAACTCTTCTCCATCTTAACCACAATACCTCAAGCAAATTCTCTGCTTATGGTAATTATTTCCTGATACAAATCTTCTCTTTTGAATAACAGTAGAGTCATCTCTTCAGTTCTGAACCCTGAGGTATGTTTTACACTCCCATCTAGTGGAGGGTGTCCCTGCCTATGGCAGGGGGTTGGAACTGGACGGTCTTCAAGGTCTCTTCCAACCCAAACCATTCTGTGATTGAAGGAAATACGCTGTGGATACAGCTCAACACAAGAATATGGAAGAACTTTGAATATACCCGTTTTGATGAAGATTGACGTGTATTGTTGGCGTGTGAGAGCTTAATATGTATACTAACATTAACAAATACATCTCTTGCCGTTAGTGAGTAAAAGGGTAGGCATCACTGGTGCTGCTTTTCTGTGCTAAGAAAGCCATTGTAGCCGATACGTGGCTCCAGCCTGTTTCTAGCTAGACAGGTAGGACAAGACCTGCCTGTCGTGAGTGGAGGCAAGCTATTTAAATTCAGCCTCTGCTCAGTTCCTCTGTGAATAGCTGCTTGCTGACTCAGGTTCTCTCACTGACCCACAGGAACAAGATGAATTTTTACTGTTGAATGGGGTCTGTTGGAACTGTGTTTAAATGTTCATGTATCTGGGTTGTCTTTGGTTAAACAAATCGGGCTAGGGACTAGCATTTTCTTTTGTCATCTTTGGCAAAATTTTGCAAATAACAACCCTGAGGGGAAAAAAGTACGTATGTAGTGAATTGTAACTTAATGTTTACTAATGGAAACTTGCGTGCACACTCAAGGCACATGCAACTTACTCAGGCAAAGAAACCAATAGTGGAATGCTCCAAGAACTGATAGGGGGATGGAGCATATTGTTATAAACACAAGCTGAATTAAAGCCACAGATGTTACAAGGGAGATGAGGAGATGGGTGTGACGGTAGATCAGATGAAGTTGAGCTCAAAATAGTGCCCAAGATACCGAGTATGTTTGTGTGTTTGTTTTTAATTGCTGTGTGATCAGACAATATCTGTTAAATCCCCTTGGATATCTTTGAATTCAGACTACCTGAATGATAACAGCTTGCTTCTGTTACCATCCAATTGAAAACTTTAGAGTTGTTGCCAGCCCTGCTGACGTGGAAGTGGTACAGATGTTGAAGTATTGTTAGATAATGGAAATGTTGTTGCTGTTAAAAAAACAAAAAGCCCCAAACTTTTTTTTTTTTAAAAAAAGAGGGGAAGTAGGGAGGGGGTTGCAGATGCAAGAGCTTGAAAGTTTTGGTACACAGTGATTCGTTTGCTTCTTTACATTCACACCATGGGCAAGATTATGTTTTTTAATCTTATGCTAGCATTTCCACTTATTACAACAGGCTTTTTTGTCCTGAAGAGAACCACAATGTGGACCAAGTTCAGTAATGTACATGAATCTTATTTTATATATGTAATATCAGCACTTTGTTTTGAATATAGAATAGCTCTTTTTGGAGCACTCACTCAAATTCACCAGTACATAAGGCACTCAGATCATGTTACTGATTTATTGAATAGGTATCCTTGCCTCCGTTTCATAGGTAGAATCCAAGGCAAAAGGATGAAGCTCAAAACTGATTACAATTTTGGATTCTTTAAGTAACATAGTTAGGACCTTCGGTTCTTTTGTATGAAGTTAACGTAGGGAAGCTCTGGGTTTCAAGCAGAGTGCTGACTGACACCAGCTGTCCTAGGCTGCTAAGCATTTCTCCAAGTCAGGCCTAACCTCTGTAGCCTAGCTTTTGAAAATTAGGAGTAAGCAGTTAATGGTAGATAGAAAATTTGTCACCAGCTTATCAGGGATCACACGCAACCTCTGCAGCAGAGAGAAAAAAAATTCGGATTTCCTTTTTTAGTGGGCAGCATTCATTCATGCCATGAAAACCCATCTCTTCTCCAGCAACCTGATTTCCTCCCTCCCCCCACTTTCCAGCTTCTGCCACTCAACTGGCTTTCTTCCTCTAGTCTTGAAATGGCTGTTTTGACTTGAAGTCTAATTTATTATGGAGTAAATTCATCCTGTGCATTAAATGAGGCAGGTATGCTGTTGAAAAATCGCGTTGGAAAATGATAGACACATTGCATAGAGAGAGGTAAAGTAGCAGCAAATGGAGAGTGGTTTAATTTCTGGTTTAAATTTATTGAAGCAGTACCATCCTCTTCAAATGTCTTGTGTTTATTATGCAGTTAAGATCAGCGTGCTAGGCCTCTGTACCACAGAATGTTGAAGAGTCCTATGGTAACGATTCTGTGAAACTTAGCAGATAGTGCAGATAAAGTTTTTTTTAGTAAGCTTACTATAAAGTTTTGCAGGTTTACTTGGATAGTGAAGTTCATAACTCAACCTGAAAGTTTATGCGCAGGGCGTTGTGTTGGTGGCACTTAACAACGTGCTGTAGTAGAGTGAAGATTGATGTCTTTCTCAGGTGTAGGTAATGTATTCCCTTTGTTCAAGAAGTTTGAAATAATTTATGGGTGGGATGATTCCAGTCAGAGGTATTCTTAAGCAGCAGGGTAGTCCACTGTTCCTGGTGACTGACAGATTTACTTCTGCAAGTGAACCGTCATACTCGATCTATGAACTCTTTGCTTAAATAGAAGAATGTTACAAGTGAGATTTCTTCATGAATCTGTTTAGAAAAAGATAAGGCAGCCTTTTTTTTTCCCCTATGGATGGGTAAGGTAATACAGGAAAAAAAACACACAGCTATGTAAATGTCTTTTTGTTAGACTATGACTTCTAACTTGTTTTAAAATATAGTGGTTATAAAAATGTTATTAGAAGAATAATCAGGTTTCCATGGAATGCATATAAAGTTATATGATCATATCCTAATAGAACATAATTCTGTAGTTCAATGAATGCTTCAGAGAAGTATTGCACAATGTGCTTTAGGATATAGGTATAGAAGAATGAGTTTGATTTAAGGAACTTATTAATAACTCACAACTTTCCTTTTTAAGGGAGCAAGTATATCAGAAATTAAGAAACAGTACCGTGCTCTATCGCTAAAGTACCATCCAGATAAAGGAGGAGATGAAGTTATGTTCATGAGGATTGCTAAGGCCTATGCAGCGTAAGTTTTGTGTCTTCTTTTTTTCTTTAACCTGCAGAAAATGGGAGCTTGATATCAACGTGAGGGAAACCTCTAAGGTGTAATAGTAAGGATGACCTAAGCAGCCAGGGACAAAGTGTTCAGGTCTGTAATGAGTCAGTTCAGTGCATACTTGCTTTCAAGTTAGGAAGGATAACTTAATTGTTTAGCAACTGTCAGAATACTGTAAGGTGTTAGTTCTTTGTATTACACTTCCATGTCCACTAGGAAAATTTTTTCCCGTGCGGTACGCATTAAATCTTAAAGATGACAAAAGCCAAAATGGATGTTGCTGTTTTTACCCAAACAACCCTGTAGCAGCGATTCTGAAGCGTTGCTTAGAAAATAAATATACTGTTCATTTCACCTGGTGACAAAGCCAAAGTGTAAGAGACAGTATTTCGACTCTCTTCCCATCTGCTGACACAGATGTTTCATTCAGGTTCTGATGCAGTTTTCCCTCAGCTCCCTCATGTCCCTTTTCATTTGCACTTGCCATAAAGTCCAGGTTTTTCACTCGGTAACACTTTCAATATTACCTATGTAGTTCTCAAAAGCTGAAATCTTCTTTGCCTCCAGAGTATTTTTTGGCCTTACCCTGGCTTATAGTTTTTTCTTATCAGAAAGATTATGTGTAATATTGGAATTCAGTATAAAGGAAATCCCTTTTATTGAATTTTTCCATAATCAAGATGTAGGTTTGGGTTTTGTAATGCTGTTCATACCCAGAATGTGATTACAGCTTTATGTTCTTTTCTACTCTGAGTCCAACACTCTGATCAGGTTCTTTTAGATATTCCACGTGCAGAACTTGTAATGTTTAATATAAAATTTGCCTACTGAAGACAGTTGAAGTTACATGGGATTTCTGATTTGGTGGAACTGTACATTTTTATTGGTTTTAGTATATTTTGTACATGAGAGAGCCAAATATAGGAGTTTGAGGACACAATTCAATCACAATACCAACACGATTCCCTCTACCAGTCTCTCTAAGCTCACTGTCATGACGCTGGGCATCCCCAGGCACCTGAAAGGCATGTGTGGGTTTGAAACCAGATTGAGCCTGTTATTCTCTTCATAATTCTTTTTCTAGTTATCTAGTGTTCATGCTTTTATGTTGTGTTGAGCCAGGTACTCATCCCCCACCCCTTCCCCCATGCTGGTCTCACAAACTTGAGGAGACATTCATACTTTGTTAACGAAGTCTAGGAGAAACGTTTTAAAGCCAGTTGATCCTCTCAACTGCTGATAGGTGTTTTTCTAAAACAAATGCCACCCTCTGGCCCTCTTTTTGTTGGGACAGTGTCAGTTTCTTGGCCGCAACTGTAGCGAGTCGCTGTGGTCAGTCTGAGCTTCATGGCACATTGCCCTTGTCCATCCCCTCTGACAGCCCTTCTACTGTAGGGATCTGTTGGCTCAGTCACGTCATCCGAAAACCTAGCAAGTGGGCGATTTCTGCTTTTAAGTCAGTTGTCTGTGTTTCACCTTACCGACTGAGAGTCCTCTGTGGGGTGAGGTGGGAAGGAGAGCCAACACCATACTCACTTGAGCAGTTTTTGAAATGCTTTCTGCTTAAACACATCTACGTCACGATGGAAGTCTCTTCAGTAGGATACTCTTGAATTGCTCTCCGAACTCCTGAAACATCTTTGTTTTGCAAGCTAGCACTCAAATGCTTGGTGATAGTTTGATACTTCAAACACTAATGCAAGGGCTGTGGCAGAGGCATATCTTGAAGCAAATGATGGTGAAGTTCCTCGGATATGCTGCCTTGAAAGAAAATAAAAGCTACCCCAGTGCATCTGCTTGTTAACAAATGTGAGACTTTGAACCGATTAGGAGATATCTGACTCACTGGGTTTCTTCTGTGAGACAAAATCTTCCATCTAGTGAATGCGGGTTGTTCTGTTTCCTAAAGCAGTATTCTTCCTTCTAGTAACAGGGGTTCTGTTTGAGGTGGTGTGTTATTGCCAAGAAACTGTCATTACAGAACAGGCATAGAAACTGTAAGATTTAGGAGGTGGTGTCTTAATTTATTTCTCTCAAATATGAAACTAGGGACTTCCAAGAGAAAAACCCCAACCAAACACATGCCATCAAAGGCTAAAATAGTGTAGAGTAAGAGAATTAAAAGCTCACATGGGCAACTTCTGCTGTATCAGCTCCTCCTGCATAGTCACCTGTTGGAAACAGACCTTTGTTGTCTTTCAAAATTTGCCTTACTGTAGCCTGAGAAGGCACTTGTGAAGGGTTCTTTGTTGATGGGTACGCTGTCGCTCTCCTAAAAGGGAGGTGTGATTGCTCCGTCTCCTATATGAGGGTGCACCTTCTGTGACTGATTTCTTTTGCTGTCAGAGGCACTCAAAGAGTTTGCCTGTGGGTCGTGAAGGAATACAGCGGTATCGTTTCCTATCAGATTTCATACAGGCAATAGCAGAAGCTGTTTAGCTTGCCAGACCATCTCTGAAGGATAGTATAAATGCCTTATATTAAAGTTTCTGTATGGTAGTGATTTAGAGAAATTTATTTACTTCTGTATTAACCTAATATCTCTTCTTGAAACTAGCTTAACTGATGAAGAATCACGAAAAAATTGGGAAGAATATGGTAATCCAGATGGACCACAAGGTAAGTATCTAGAGAGACTTGCCAGTATTAAAGGGAGATATAAGTGGAGAATAGAATAATACTCATCAGAAACTTGTCAGTTTAAAGGATTTCTTGGTATTTGTGATCAGATACTACAAATGTAGATTGAAAAATTAACAACCAGCCATAATGCAATAAACACACTTTGAAGGGATGTACGTGAGGATACGTATGTATTTAAATACATACTGTGTACGCCACTGCCTTCCGTTTGCTGGAAGCAGTACTGTTTGAGTGTAGCTCTGTGCCACCTTCATCTTGAGGAATTCCAGTGATTATCCCTATGCTGGTAGATTGTTCCTGGGCAGGTAGCTACATGGAGATAATTGTGATGGTGCTCTAGTAATGTTTTACAGTAGATGATCCAAACTAAAACCACTTAAGACTAAAAGTTAATAGATTACCTTCCTCCCCCCTCCCCTGCCATTTGCAGCTGTGCAAGTCACTTGTGTAACATCTTTGTGGCTGTTTAAGTGGACTAGTTGTGAGAGAGAATATATTTCTAGGTGCCTCTGGTACAGTAGGAGGACTCTTTTGCTGCAAAATACAAATAAAACATTGCTTCAGAAATACTGTCACAATATCAGCCAAATGGTGCTTTAAATTTTAGCCTGGTTTATGCACAAATACCTTTCCTAGGACCTTCCCTGATGCTAAACTGTTTTTTGCACTCACAAGCCACTTAGTGTTGCCAAGTCTTAGGATTTCAAGTTGGACACTATGTCAGTGTCTTTGAATGGACCTGAAGCTGTGACATCAAAAGGAAACTCAGGCAAAAACTGAGAATTTAAAGGCATGAAGGTCCTTGTGCTGTTGGCTCAGGGGTCGCTTTCACAAACTTAAAGGACTCTGGATTCCTGGAGGGTGAAATGGAATGATTCTTCAGTAGGGCAGCAGCTTGTACTGCGAGAGTGAAGCCTCCTGCTCTTCTGAAACCTTAACTCAGACCATGGTGGGATTGGAGTTCTCTGCATTGCTGCGAGGTGTGTCCTCTTCATCTGAGGGCTGGGATGAAGCCTGAAATATTCTCTCTTCCACCACCCCCCGCAGCTGCCCTTAACCTTACAGAATAAGGTTCTGTAACGAGAGTGAAGCCTCCTGCTCTTCTGAAACCTTAACTCAGACCATGGTGGGATTGGAGTTCTCTGCATTGCTGCGAGGTCTCGTCTTCATCTGAGGGCTGGGATGAAGCCTGAAATATTCTCTCTTCCACCACCCCCCGCAGCTGCCCTTAACCTTACAGAATAAGGTTCTGTAACCTTATTCCGCATTGAAGTGTGAGGAGCTTTGTAATTTAGGAAAATTCATCTTCTCTTTCTTTATGTACCTGTAGTGTCAAAATCTGTATCCAAGCTACATACTCCAGGTTTTCGTTCTGTATAGTCAAAGAGTGGAGTCAGTCCTCTGTAGAGGTACATTCTGGGATGAAATGAAGCACATCTGGCGTTAGACATGTCTAACCAAGTTAGATGAGGTACTTCCCACCCTCTGTGCCCAGCACAACGGAACAGTGAGCAGTATTCCTCTCCATCCAACTGAATCAGCATGGAGGTTAGAGGCAGGCAAACAAAACTTCTTGTCTTCGGCGTGACTTGTTCCTTCGCTAAAAGTAAAATATTGAATGAATGTGCAACAGCATTTGAAGAATGTTTAAAAGCAGGTGAGGGGACCTGGAGAGTAAAAAGATAGGCTTTTAATAATGTAAGGCACTTCTAGTAGACTGTTTCCTCTTGGTATTTGCTAGCGCTTCGGCTCAGCAAGCACTGATGGGGGCAAGGAGGCACTCAGATCAGAAGGGGAAGAGCTTTGTACTGAACTACTTCTGTACCCAGAACAGTTTGACTTAACAATCCTCAAGGTCAGAAATATTGTGGGACTTGACATTTCTTTTAGTTGATTCTTCTAAAAAAATCCATAACCATTAACAGATGGGGAGGTTTCCCCAGAGCAGGGCATTTCCTTATAGCTTCATATGGTAAATTCACTGGGTGTTACTCTGAACTCCTGAGCTGGAGGTGTGGTCAGGTGGGTCAGATATTTGTGTCTCAACAAATAGTAGTTTCCAACTTAACTGCATAGAAGTAACATTAGGCTTGTGCATAACAGCTGGTTGTCTGAACTGATGGCTGTCACGATCTGTTGGAGACAGTATCAGAATAATATCTAAGTACATAGGGGTTCCTAGTCTGTCCTTATTTAAGGCAGTACTCAGTTACCTGCTAGTACTGAGAAAAGTGTGAGTTTGGGGTGTGTGTTCGTGGGATTTTTTTTTTTTTTTAAAGCAGGCCCTAGAAATTTGTAAAGTCTTTCTTTTTTTAATCTATCTTTTCTTGGTTTCCTAGAACTTTTTTAGTGTTAGGACAGGTAGCGTTTGCAAAGTTCAGTTTATTACAGCTAAAGTGTCTGAAGACAAGCTATTTTATACTATTCTGTATTCAGATCTGTGTACTGTAGATGCTACTGTTGGAGATTCATGTCTTCTCTTTTCTGCACCCTAACTCCTTCTGAATTGAAAAGTGTTCCGTTCTCTTTCTTACCAATCACACAGAAATTTGAACTGGTAGAGGGTTTTGTTTTAAAATTTAGAGCTTAGAACACTTTCCTAAAGTCACAGACTAATAAAACTTTTTCCATAGAATTAATTTGTTCAAACAGTTTTTTCTTATAGTTTGTGTATTTACAGAAATAGATGTATTTAAACTGCTGAAAACTCTGCAAGGCAAAGCTCATAAATCTTTCCATCTGTGAAATCTTGCTCTCTCTTTTTTAAAAATATATTAATAAATCTTGCATATCCATTTCACTACAATATGTTAAGATAAAATCTTTGGTGTTTCAGATGTTTCGTTTAAGTCTTGTCATTTTATTGCATACTTGAGTATTTCTAATTTGTTTTTTGATTTATACCAGATTTGTTTGTTTGTTGCTTATTGAAGTGATAAATGAGGATTTCTTGTGGGTTGGTTGGTGGTTTTGTTTGAGTGTTTTTGTTTGTTAGATTTAATGTGACTTTAAAACAATTCCTTAGTATTTTATAGTGAATTTCTTTTCTTTCATCCTACAGCTACAAGCTTCGGTATAGCTTTGCCAGCTTGGATTGTGGATCAGAAAAATTCTATTTTGGTGAGTCAACTTCCTTAGCTCAAGATTTTACGGTGATCCTTTGAAGGGTTCACCTCAAAATGTTTGTGCTTAGTACTGCACATCTTAATCGAAACACATAGTTGTTAAATATTCTGGCCCCAATACACATCTTTGAAGCAAATTTCAGGAGTCAAAAGTGTTAGACCGGCTTAAATCTAACTTTTGTGAGTAAAGTATTAATATGCTTGGAAGGATCTTATTGCAGTGATAGTGTGGTCACCCCTGCTACAAAGTGTGTGTTTGCTGTTGCAAGGAAACATGTATAGAACTCTTAGCTGGATTTCCCTAGTTCTGTTTGGTTTGCCAGCGATGCTGTGATCTTAGAGCGCCTGAGGTCATTCTGGTCTATTTGTTGCTGCAAGGTTTTGGGTTTACCCACTTGCTTACTTTTAATGCTGTAATCGTCTCTGTCTGTTGCATCACAGTTTAGCTGCCAACTCTTTTAATAATTAAAGAAACCCACCTGACACGGTGTGTGGGTGATGTAAAAGATTACTTATGCTAGACTGATACTGCTGATTTAAACCCTACTCAACTGATTATGTTACAAGTAAGTTGTTCTTTAGAAGTACTGACAGGTACTATGCAGTAAGCTTACATTAATTTGTGGTAGGCTTCTGTTAATACTACCTGACTGAGAATAAAATTGTAAATATAATAAGAGTGGTATTAAATAACTGAAGTATCTAATGGAGTTTGTTTTATAATTTTTCTCTAGGTTTTGCTTGTATACGGATTAGCATTTATGGTTATTCTTCCAGTTGTTGTGGTAAGTATTATCTAATTAATGTTCTACTCTCATACTGCAACCAGTATGTAAGCAAAGATGTTTTAGACATGAGCCGAGTTGCTCATTCTTGCCTTTCATGGAGCGAACAAGGAAGCGAGCTGCTTTTTTTTTTTAACGTGGGTGTTTTCTTTTATTGTGGAAAAAAGCGTAGCTGCTGTAGGGTTTCCAAAAAAAAAAAAATATGCAGGGCCATATACAGGGAGGACTCTAGGAAAATTTTAGATGTTCCGAAGAGTTAGACTGAGTTATGTAATTTGTCTTGTACCTTGTATGTACAATGGCAATTAACATGATGTGATGAACTGAAGAGCATATTCAGTGGTGTTACTGTAGAGCCGAGGCTGGAGATGTCTGTAGCTGGTGGTATTAGAACGATTACTGCATGTGGAACAGGTGGCTGGTTTGGTTTCTCCTGGCTGCCTTTGTTTTCATAACTTCAGTATTTATTGATTTTCTGTGCACCATGAGATGTCTGCCCTCAAGATTTCTTTGTGCGAGGAGTCAGTTGGTAGGTGAGGGGTATTTCAAGGCTCAGGTTTGTCCTGAAGTATTGCTTTTGAACAATGTTCCTTATCCAGCGTATTTGGGTTACGGCACGAAGGAGTACTCAGAAAATTGACACCCAGAAACCTTTATGCTCTTGGGAAGAAGACTCTTCATTTGAGAGAGTGTCCTGGTGTTTTGGCAACTGCTTGAATCTCTGTGTGCAGAGGCTCAGCCAGGCATTATCCCTTCTCTTTGAGAGCCTTTCTGCATAACTGAAGATTTAGTGTAGAAAATTAGATGTGGCTATTTCAACAAGCTGTTGAATACGGAGAGTAAAATCCAGGGTACAGTGTCTACGTGTTTTTCCCATCTTTCCTTTCAGGTTTCAGTGGGTGTCTGTTGATGCTTTTTTGTATACATGTACTTTTGGTGATTTATACTGGGTTTATGATAGCTCAAATGAAAGTAAACATCCTTTCTGTTGTTACGAAGCAATGTCCTGAGCAGAGAGAAAAATAATCTGCCTCTCGCCCCTAAACCAGATGTAGACTTCTGCATTTAGACTTGTCATTGTAAATTTCTTTTATAGCCAGTGAAGAGGAATAGTTGCTTTTATGGAGCAAGTTATTTTATCATTTCATTCTAAAGTAGACATACAAGATGATTCATGCCTTAAATGGGCCTGTTTCTCTTTTATGAATCAATAAAGAAGCTGAAGTTAACTACAGTGTAGTCATCCTATATCTGAGATGGGCATCTAAAATAAAGTAAGGCTGGTTTCACCCTTTGAATCCAGATCAACAAAAAAGGAAAATGCAGATACATACTTCTTCCTAGACCTATACCGACCTAAATAATGTTATGTGCATGAGGTGAGAGAGATGGGGCGTATGGTTTAATTCTGAAAATTTTCAGCAAGGGCACTGGGCCACCTCCAGATTCCTCCTCTTAAAAGCATTTTTTGATTAGGTGACTAAGCTATTTTTTGCAAGCTTTCTTATGATGAAAGTGATCTCTTTATTCTATTCTTGGTTTGGCCTTGGTCTGCCTAAACTGAATTTGAGTGCTGTGTCGCACGGTAAGGAGTTAACGTGTGTATAGGAAGTGGTAAATCTAGTGGATTTATTGTTTAGTGAATTCACTAAAACAACACCAAAACCAAAGAAGCAGTGTATATGTGTGTGTGCACGCGTAGGAGGGAATTCTCTGCGCTAGAGATTATCTGGAAACTTTTGGCATCAGATTCTCTCAGATGACTATATTGGTGTGCTTCTAAAATTTCTGTCAGCAAATATTCTTTGGTTTCCCTCTTCCTTCTGCAATTTCCTGACCTTATGTAAAATCAGTTAAGCTGAGTGACCTGGTTGTGAACAGACATGAGGTGATCCAGCACAGCTGTTAAGATGCTTCATCATGGCTGACATAGGTTTGTCCTTATTAAATGCCTCAGGGTTCCTGGTGGTACCGATCCATACGATACAGTGGAGATCAGATTCTCATTCGGACAACTCAAATCTATACGTATTTTGTCTATAAAACACGGAACATGGACATGAAACGTAAGTAAAAGGCATCTTGAAATGTCGATGTGTTCATCTGGAAGTTCTAATCTGCTGATGTTAAAATGCTGCTGCTTTGTAAGCCTTTGCTGGGTTAAAATATGTTAGAGTGTTTTTTAAAAACTTCATTTTGTTGCAGGTGAAGAGTACTCTATAAGAAGACTTAAGTATTTGGGTGAGGGAGTTATATAGATCTATATTTGCCTGTCGATACACTAAAAAAAAAAAAAATAGAAAAAAGGTTATCGTATATTGGGAAAAACATGCTGACCTGCCTGTAGTCCTGAGAGCAGATGAATCCTTTTTAGAATTTTGAGGAAATCACTGCACACCTGGTCTCTTCTTTCTCCAAACTTGTCAACAATAGACTATTTCATGTTGAGCCTTGCTCAGAACCATAGCTTTGAGGCTTGTCTTGTCTCTGCTACCAATTGGTTAAATAGTTAACCCTAACTCTGAGTGGCCTTAAGGACTGGATACTTTCAGGGGGTCCTGGGACCAGAGGCAGGTCAGTTTTTTTCCTCTGTGGTCTGTTGTGCAATCTGATTGAAAAATGAGATGGCTTGGACAAATCACACAGTGATCATGTAAGACTTTTGCTTGGCTATGAGTCCCACAGTGAGGTAGCAGTGCCAAAACTCAAGGCTTAAGCCTGGGCAAATGTAATCAAACCAGGCTAGGGAAATGGTGAGACAAATCTACATGACTTGCCTTGTTTTAGGTAATTTTTTTTTTTAGGTTTCAGGATGAACGGGTTTTCTAAACTTCCTTTCCTAAAGATCCACGGTTGTGTATCTTAAAAAATGGGAAAATATTTATAGTTGTCTGACACTGTGATATGCTCTCCTCAGGAAGTAAATAGGTAATTGAGAACAGAAATGAAAACTGGTGCTCAGGGAACTTGACTAGTTGTTAGTAGGTGGAATTCAACAAGCACTGCAAGTAGGCTAAAATAACTTTGGCTTGCTCAGAAGAGAGCTTGCTCTAAGTTTAAGAAAGGAGCTTGAGTATTGCTGAAAAAGTTATTTTAACTGGAGCAAATGTTGTGGTGAGCTTTCTCTTGTTATCTATTGCTGAGGGGTCTGATGTTCATGAGCAGAAAGTTAAAAATGAGGCTGAAATATCCCATTGTGTAGGTGTTTCATCTTAATTATACAACACGATGTTTTGGGTTGTAAGAATTTTCCTAATCACATTAGGAAGAGAGCAGTCAATCATCTTCATGGTATTTGTTTGCAGGGGTATTTATCCAACAGCTTTTGTAATAATTAAAAGAAAAAACTTGCGGTGACTTTTCAATGCTGACTGAACAGAAAATTGAAGTTTTATCCTTCCGCTTCCCCCTCCAGTACATACATTGGGGTTCTGAGGCAGGCACATGAATTTCTGAGTGGAATGGTTCTGTGAGCATGCAGAAGTGGTCTGACTGCTCTGCAGTGGTGTCTGCCAGTCCTAAAGAAGCCTAACTGTCTTTTTGTGAAGACATTTAGTCAAATACTGGACTTGATGCCATGCAAAATAGAGCCTTGAGCGATCTCTTCTGCCTTGTGCCAGGCATTGGTTCTTCCTTCCTTTGTGCTGTGGCAGTAGTAACTGATCCACTAAACAGAGAACATGGATATTCATGGTGGTTGGGGGAGGAGTGGGAATAAATTTTATGGCTGAGGGTTCTGAAGAAATTGCTCAGTGGCATAGGATGTTGCTGATGTTTTCTCTGTCTGCCTCCCAATTATCTCTGCAGGGCTTATCATGGTTTTAGCAGGAGCGTCCGAATTTGATCCTCAGTACAATAAAGATGCTACAAGCAGACCAGCAGACAACATTCAGATACCACAGGTTAGTTACAGAAAGAGGTGTTTCATAAATAACTGACCCCTTCAAGGGAAAAGGGAGATGGTGCTTCTAGGTGACCGGCAGACAGAATTTAGGTTCTCAAGGCATTAATTTTGTTGACATGTAGCTGTATCCCTTCAGAAACAGGAATTAGAAGCTAGACTTGATTTAATGTTTTCTAAAAGAAAAGATAGCATTAATTGGTGGTAATGCTGAGCTTAAATGGAATCAGTTTAGTATATAGACTGCTAGGTTGGTTTTTTGGGGAGGACTGTCAGCCCTTATAAATTTTGAGTATTGATGTAAGGAGGTGATTGTCATTTGATAAATTTCTTTCACATCATTAACACAGATCTGGTTAACTATGTTAATACCGAAACAAAATTATTATCTGATGTCTGAATTAATAATGCCTTTAAATATTTTAAGCATTCCTCCATGAATGCCTGTTCCCCTGTGGTTGCCTTTTATTTTTCATTTCCACTCTTGTCTTCCCAACAGAGATGCCATAATGCATCCTGTGGCAAATAATTATTGCTAGCAGAGTTTTAGGAAGTCTTATTTATCAGAAACTAAGACTTTGGTTTTAAGAAGATTGAACCACAGTGTACAAAATGCTCCAATGAAAATGTTTTGAGTTTGCAAAATGAATTGGGGGAAGTCTCACCTATTTAATCTTTGCATGCACACGTTGAATTTTCATGTTTTAAACATACTTTCACATCCTAAACATAGAGAAAATAGACTGAGATACTGCTTACTTAATTGTCTTTGTCTCTTTTACATATTAATCGTCCTGTGGACTTTAAGAGGAGCTGCATTTGTGGTTAGGTGTGAGGTTTTTCAGCAGTGGGAGCACATGACTGGAAAAGATCACCTTGGTCATCAGGCCTTCTCCTGTGCTGTTGCAAGGATTGGCATTGTGCAAGCCCTTTACGTCTTATCATTCATTCAGGTGGCAGTCAAGCCTCCTGTAACCATGCCCTATGGAGAAGCTGTTCCAGAACTTGCTGTTCTAGTGGTTAGGAGGCTTGTTTGTGCCACTCTATAACCATGTTTGTCATCGTTATTCTTGAGTCTAAATGATTCTGGCTTTGTATATCCTTAATGCATTTACAGACAGAAGCAAAAGCCCATTTGTTCGCTTTTTGTCTTCATTTACCTAAACTAGAAAAGTTGCTTTCTCTTAATCCCTTCTTTCCCAAAAGGCTCTTCATTTCCCTCATCCTGCTACATGCTGGATGGGATACTGTTCCCAGTTGATGTATTTCTAAATTTTACATTATTTTTTATTGTGTCAGCTCAGTTGTCCACAGTTATTCCATGTTAAGTCTTAGCAGTGCCTTGGTCGGTGGCACTGCTATTCCTGTAATTTCTGCAGGGAATAACTTCTGGCATACTTCTTTCCACAACTATTTCATATGATGTTTTAATACAGCTGTTGTATTAAGTTGTATCTGCTAAGTTTTCTGGATTTCTCTTACATACCTCTGTTTTCCAGCTAATAAGCTCCCATCTTTGAGCTGCAGCTCTTGTTAGTATGCAAGAGCATGACCTGGTATTTTATACCGTTGGACTTTGTATCATTTCTAAAGGTCTGGTAGTCTGTGTCATCTGTGCTCTTTGTTTTCTGAGTATATGGCAGTACAAGTCTCCAAAGCATCAGTACAGAAGGGTATTGCTAATAATTTTTGTTAGTGTGTTCTTTTGGGGCAATGATCATTGTTCCAATTTTTTTTTTTTTTACTGTTTTATCATAAACCCACTATCAATACTTTTTAACAGAGCTTCCTTACCGAAGTTTTACTCTTCTTGGTCTGGTGTTACACCAGGATGTGCTTATAAGGAACTTCTTGTTAGAAGATCTTTTTTCAAGTATAAACGTCTTTCGGGGAGAGACAGGTCAAAGGTCAGTGTAGCCTGGCTGTTGATATCCTAACTTACAGAATCATAGAATGG